TTATTCAAAATGAAATGTTCTGTCTGTGTGTTTAGCTTAGTTTTTGATTTATAGACGAATGTTGCAATGGACCCTTTTCATAAGACTTTGATGATGCGTTTCAACGGTCATCAGCAGTGTTGGGGGTAACGCATTACAAGTAATCCGATTACTTTTTTCAAGTAACTAGTAAAGTAACGCATTACTTTTTAATTTACAAGAAAATATTTTTTCAAAAATAATTTTTCAAAAAAGTAACGGCAGTTACTTTGTTTTCCCATTTATTGACTGACAAGTCTCCTGTCCCCATATTGGGAATGGCAACCCCTGAGGTCAAGGGTCAGGGGGAAAGGTTGCTTTTATCTGCTAATGAGGTCGGTACCTAGGGCTCCTAATGTTTCTCTCGCCGGCTGTCCCTCTTTTCCTGCTGCACCGCAAGCAGGGGGCAGCGGCGATCTGAAAGAACAGACTTGACACCGATGCCATCCGTCCCCGGCATTTTTCAAAAATAATTTTTCAAAAAAGTAACGGCAGTTACTTTGTTTTCCCATTTATTGACTGACAAGTCTCCTGTCCCCATATTGGGAGAAATCGAAAGTACAGAGGTGTTGTGTGCGCTGTGTGAACATAATGTAGTTCTAGACTAAATGTGAATGTGCATTCATTCTTCCCACTCACAAAAAAACTGTTTAGTAGTCATCAAAATGAATTAAAACAGTGAAATGCAAACTCAGAATATGACGCAAACCTGCAATAATTAAACATGTTAGATAACACAAATGTATCTAATCCCATTTTATTAACCAATATCTTTGCTGCTGACCTTTGCTGATCCAGTTCAACCATACTAATAATCAAAAGTGATTTTGGATAAACTAAAAATTGTGCTTCATTGTTTTTTTTATTGCTGAAGAGTGTTGAACCTTCTTCTCCTGCGTTCTACTGTACAGACGTGAATTTACTTTTCCTTCAGCCTTCCTTCATTACACTTTTTGGTGTGAAAGGGCTTTTACATTTGCTATAAATAGAACTTCTTATATTAAAAACAATCAACATCAGCATTGAAAATCCGCCAAAGTTTTTTGTATTTTAATTTTTTTTAAATGTATGTACATTTATAACACTATACTTATATTACCTTTGCATCAGATTACAAAAGAAATGTGAGGATGTTTCTAATGCGGCGTCAATGGGAGGGATAGTAAATTTGACATCATTCTCTGGCTGCCGTTATCAGTCTCTCTCTATTTTTTTTTTCCTTTTTTTGAAAGTCACGAAAACACTATCATGGAGTTTTTCTTTTGCTATTTGAGCAAATGGGAATGCAAAAAAAAAATGTGTGGTAGTCTCCCATTCACCGCTATAGAAGTTTACCCAACTATGATTACTTCTGCTGCTGAGAAACCCAGAAATGTGAGAAACAGTTGCACTCATGCACATTGTTAACGGGTGATTCTCAAAAGAACATGTCCTGATCATATTTCATCTCAAAATCAAAAGGAAAAAAAATATGAAACTATATTTTGCTTTGAAGAAAATAAAACCAACTCTAAAGATTGTTTTGCATTGTTGAGCAATGACAATATTTTCATGACGATTAAGCACATTTGCCTCTCAGATTCTCATTATTGTAATATGTATGAATGTATTTTTGATTTTTAGATAATTACAGCAATTAAAAATGTTTCATTTATTTACAGTAACAAGAACACTATATACGGTTCTATATATGGAATTTTTTGTTTACTACCTCGAAAAACCTTTTTACAGTGTGTCTTTGTGTATATAAAATAAAAATTATTTTTCGGGGTAGTAAATAAAATAAAGATGCCTTACACATTGAATGAAGAGGGTGGAGAGATAGAGAGAGAGAGAGAGAGGAGAGAGAGAGAGAGAGAGAGATAGGGAGGAGAGGGAGACTAGTAGAACAAAACTTGTAGAAGATGATGCACCCTCCTGTGGGATTAGCTGGTACAAGAGGCCTAAAAACAAGGGCCACGGAAAAAGAGATAATCAGTATAAACATGATTTATTATCAAATGCATAATTCCAGTCCTGAATGAATCCAGCAATCGTTTTGAAGCTTGAAAAGTATGGAAAAGATTTCCCAGTACATTCTTTAAAATATTTTTTTATGTTCCAAGGTTTGGAATGATATGAGGGTGAGTAAATTATGACATAATTTTCATTGAACTAATCCTTTAATGAGAACTAGTTCTTGTTAACATTTCATACTCCAAGTTGCGCAGCAGGAATCCGTGGGTCCATCAGAAGGGCATGACAGGGACTAAATCATTGATATAAGACAGACGTTCAGAGGTCAGGATGGAAATCGTTTTTGCCTGCGGCGTTTAAGAATTTATTAAAAACAGGAAGCAATGTGAGTAATATGAGTGAATCATTTTGTAAAGATTGGAACCACATTTATGCTGCCTTACAAAAACATATCAAAAGAAAGTGCGTACACACACAAACATTGCATTTATTTGTAAGACCACTGCATCCGTGAACATCTAAAATACAGGTAACGTATTATAGAATTTTATAATTAAACAGAATTATTTCCATTTAAATACTTTTTGCATTTTGAAAAACTATATTCACTGACAGAATTATTTAGTGGCTTTTTAAATATCACAATGATGAATAACAATATACCTTAATAAAATCTCTGAATTTAATTTAAGTTAGTTTGACATACCAAAATAAATGGCTACAAATCCAACAGTTAATTTTGTCTAAAATGTTATCTTTTTTTTTTCATGAAAAGAAATGAGAATTTAAAAATATAATATTATATTAATATTTTTGTTAAATTTCAATCAAAATATTTGAGAATGGAGAAATTATACGGATCACTTTCTAGAATCATTAGTATTAATTTTTTTAAATGAATAGTTGTGTCTCATTTCGAAGGCTGTGCCCTCCGGAGGTCGCATTCTAAGGCTGCATACGTCATCGAGGGTGTCTCATTTCAGAAAAGCAAGTAGGACACTCCGAATGCGACTTTCTTTCACAGCAATTCGGAGGATGCATGAGGTGTATCCTTCCTACAGATAACCCACAATTCTTTGCGTCGCCGTAAACAACCGTCGTTTATTTGAAAAAAATGGCGGCGCTGGCAGATGTAACGTTACACACAAAAGAAGATGTGGTGTTTAAATATAAGCATTTTCAAGTTCTTCTTTTTTAAGTTGTATTACCTCAGTTGGTAGATGTGGTAAACAGGATTACATGTGTTTAGTGATTTTTAAACGTTGAGAACAATTCTTTGCTTGCAAGGTGAGAAATTGTTAATTTGTTTAACACAGCTAATAATTCATCTTTAACAAAAAAAAAACAAAAAAAATGGCTGACAGTTAAAAGAAATAAGAAATGCCCCTCCCCCTCTCTCTGACGCCCTTGAGTTACTGAGCGCGGCGGGCTTTTTGTGTTCTCTTCAGAGAGCTGCCTGCCGGTTTAGTGCATTTCTTCAGTGAAATACAGGTTTGTGTACGTTTTATTTAATTTTAATTTTATTTGAAACTTCAGAAGTGTACATTGGACGATTTTTGTCTTTAATGACTTGTCTTACAATGTTCTGGAATGTTCCAGAAAGCACTAGAATATTACAGAATATTTCATAAAATGCATAGCAAATTTGTAAAATTAAGTTAAATTATTATATAAATTAATACATAATATATTCTAATTGTCTGGGATGTTTGGGATTGCACAGGACAGACATGGCAGACTGGGCCTCTGATACTGGTGCAACTATTGCAGGAAACATTGGGAGGAGCTGATAGTGGAGAGCTAGGATGATTTAAAAACAGTTAAAGACTGTGCCAATCTGATATAGGCTGGAAGGCTGTTCCACAGCCTAGGGCCAGCAACTGCAAAGACTCTATCCCCTCTATGCTTTAACCGTGATCTGGAGACAGAGAGAAGTCTTTGATCACCAGACCTCAGATTTCGTGTAGGATCGTATGGATAGAGTTGATCAGACAGATAGCTCGGTGCCAGATTATTTATAGATTTAAAAACATGAAGAATTTTAAACTCAATTCTAAAATGCACAGTTAACCAATGCAGGGATTTCAAAATTGGAGTAACGTGATCAAATTTACGGTGTCCTTTGAGGAATTTAGCAGCTGCGTTTTGTACGAATTGGAGACGAGCGATGGAAGATTTAGAAATGCCGAAATAAAGAGAGCTGCAGTAGTCCAAGCGAGATGTAATGAGTGCATGGATAGCAATATCTAAAGATTTCTCAGAGAGAAAATATTTAATTTTGGAGAGAAGACATAGCTGAAAAAAAAAAAAGCACCTCGGTTTTTGATTCATTCAGAAATAAGAATTTTTGGCCAGCCTAAGGCACACCTGTGCAATAATCATGCTGTCTAATCAGCATCTTGATATGCCACACCTGTGAAGTGGATGGATTATCTCGGCAAAGGAGAAGTGCTCACTAACACAGATTTAGACAGATTTGTGAACAATATTTGAGAGAAATAGGCCTTTTGTGTACATAGAAAAAGTCTTAGATCTTTGAGTTCAGCTCATGAAAAAATGGGGGCAAAAACAAAGTGTTGCGTTTATAATTTTGTTCAGTGTATGATTTGACCCAGCTAAGAACAGTTCCCTGGATGCCCACAAAATATTCTAGTTGAGACAGAAGAATTTTATGACCAACTGTATCAAAAGCCGAGGTTAAGTCTAACAGAATTAGGATAATAGAGTCACCAGAGTCAGTCGCTAACAAAATATCATTAAAGACCCGTAATAAAGCAGACTCTGTGCTATGCAGAGGCTTAAAACCAGACTGGAAAGTTTTTTTTTAAATCTGATTTGCACTAAGGAAAGACTGTCTTATGTGGTGTTATGTGGTGACCTGAAACAAAACAGAAATAAATACAGTATTAATACATGTGTAAATACACTAAAAATGACAGTTTATAAGGTACAATGTACAACTTATTAAATCTAATAATAAAAGCAAAGCAAGAAAACTTCAAATTTGAAATATGTCTTAAATTATTTTAAGGTGATCTTAGGTTTAGAACTGTAAACCACTTGTGGGAAAGGATTTCCTCCAGTTGAATTCGCTTCTTCGGCTTTTCTTGCAGGAGAGCGCGGAGCAATCTGCAGCATTCTGTGCAGAAAGACGAGGGGGACATCTGATTATGACCTTAACCTTTACACCTGCTTTAACTTACTGATCATATTAGCTGTACGATCTGAGTTCAGGCATCAGAAATCAAGAAAACTTAATGCAGTTTCTAACGGCCATCTTTCATATAGCCACTTGTCCCTGTTTGTATGTTTAAAATGATAACTGAACTCCTTGTTAAAGATAATCTTACCTTTTGACAGGCCAGTTTTGAAACAGAGGTGCAGTTTGAGCATGTGCAGATCTAAGAAATCTGGAAAATATCCGGCCACTATTCTGAATAACAGAACCCCCAGTGACCAAACCGTCGCAGGCTTGTCATGATACTTCCCCTTTATGTGAAACTCAGGAGGGGAGTATATTGCTGTGCCTGGAAGAAAAAGATTTTGTTAGATGTGCAAGTTCGATTCACAACAGTGACGACATCCATGACTGTAACAGTCGTAATTCTATATATATCGGATGCTTCTTGTTGCTACTCACGCCTGGTCAAGTCATAATGTAATCGTCACTAGAGTTACAGTGCCAAACTGCAGCTTTGAGACACAGTACATACCACAGTATGACATGTAGACAGTTGTCCTCAGAATGTCCCCACACCCAAAGTCAATTAATTTGACTTCACGTGTCTCGTTGTTGATGAGAAGGTTGTTCAGTTTAATGTCACGGTGGAACACTTGGCGCTGGCAGCATACGTTCGCAGCCTGAGCCGCCTGCCTCATGACTTGCCGTGCTAAGCTCTCGTTGAGACTTCCACCCTGACGCCTCACAAAGTCTTCCAAAGTCTCGCAAGGAGAGGGACATTCGAGGATCATGACGAAATGGTCATCGTAGTCCTTCCAGTCCAGCAGCTGGATGATCTCTGGCGCTCTGGGGCCTTTATTTGCCAGGATTGTGAGGGCGATCTCCATTGGAAGAAGTTGCCGATACCCAGGCTAAAAGAAAGACCGTTATTATGATTGTAAGATAGAAGTTGTTTTCCAAATAAGGACTTAGTACAGTTTCCCTACTAGTTAGTGAGAGGAGTGCATCTTACTTACAATGCATAAACCTTCCTTGGAGTGTTTGGTCTTATCGACATATTTGACCGCCACCTGATCAAGAAAACAAACAACAATTAACTCGTGAAGAGGCCACATCATTCCTGTCATTAAATCTAAACAGACAAGTTTTGTAAAGTTTAATTGAATTTAAATCCAACCAGGACAAAAAGATAACACTGAGAGGCCTTGCAAACAATCGCATGACATCACAAAAGTATAAAGATAAGACAGGGCAAAATCACTTCGCTAGCTAGATAGGTTTTCATTCATTTTTCACTTACTTTAAGGTCATCCTCCAAACGTCTCGCCTCGTACACAACACCAAATCCATCTTTGCCTAGCAGATCACCCAGCTGGTAGTGGCTGAAGATGAAGTCTGTTAAAAGATAAAACAGCTGCAGTTGATATAAAGTTTTAAACATTTGTTATAGCTATTATTCAATTTTATTTTATATACAATCTTAAATGATAGATGTAGGTTTAGTGATAATATTTAAATCAGTAGAGACTACATTGAATATGTCCATGTTATTATTTGTCACCCCTAAACTAAGTGCATATAAAAAAAAATGAACATTTCCTGGATTAAAGACCTGATCATGACCTTAATCCATTTTCAAGTTGATTTGTATGTGTTGATGTGGATTGTTGATTTAAAATTCCCCTGATTTAACACATTTGATCAATTCGTCATTGAGGAAACCTTAAAAATTAGGCAAAGTGCATTAGAGACCAAACAAGATGCTTAAAAGCTATTATAATCTATCCTTTAAAACTAGAATGATTTTCAAAAATAATTCCTTTAAAATCATTCTAGAGGACAGGTCCCCTAATAATCAATTAGTCAATTCATTAATTAATGATTTTCCTAGGTATGAATGAAGACTTTCTGAGATTCCTCCGACATGGTCATGTCATTTACCATCACTGCATCTGGCTTTCCGTTCTTTCTGGGGCTTCGCTTCCTCTCTCTGCTGCTCCTGTTGCTCCTGCACCTGCTCTTGCTGCAGCTCTACTTCACCCTGAACTGGGTTCGAGCTGCTCTAATGATTTTTAAAGAAAGAGGCCACCCTCCACCACTTCTTTTTCGTCTTCCCTTTCTCCTCCACCTTACTCTCCTGGCCGTTTCCTTCACCAGCATCAACAGCGGTCTCGTCGCGCGGATGAGGATGTTGTTCCTCCGTGTTGGGGCTGTGTTTTGGGGGTGTGCTGAGATCGCATGCATGGCTATCCGGGCCTCTATTCGCCAGGATGTTGAGGGCGATCTCCTCTGGAAGACGGTGTGGATATCCAAGCTAAAAGAGAGGGTTTTTACAATGGTAAGATGAAAGTTGTTTTCCAAAATGAGGATTTAGTCCAATCTTGGACAAGTTACTCTACTGAAAGAAATAGCTGTCTGTGATTATTGTTAATAAGAGACTTTTTTTTCTTTTTTTTTTAAAAACAGGAGAACATCCTAAGAAGTGCATCCTACTTACAATGTATAAACCTTCCACGTCTTCATCGGTCTTGTTGAGATGTTTCACAGACACCTGATCAAGAAAATGAACAAGTTAGAGGCCTCATCATTCCTGTCATAAATTCTAAATAGACATGTTACGTTTTGTAAAGTCTGATTTAATTTAAATCCAACCAGGACAAAAAGATACACTGAGAGGCCTTGCTAACAATAGAATGATAAAAGCAAATGATGAAGATAAGACAGGGCAAAATTAATTTGCTAGCTCGATAAGCTTTCATTCATTTTTTACTTACTTCAGGGTCATCCTCCAAACGTCTCGCCTCAGCACCAGATCCACCTTCACCTAGCTGATCACCCCGGTGCTTGTGGCTGACAGTGTAGTCTGTTAAAAGATAAAACAACTGCAGTTGATACGAAAGTTCAAACATTTTTATTATTCAAATTTATTTTATATACAATCTCATGTAATTATTAAAGCTGTAGATTTAGCAATATTATTTTAATAAGTAAAGAACACATGAAATATTTCCAATTAACATATATATTTATATAATTTATATAATAATAATATTTATAAGTATTTTTAACATATCCTGGATTAAAGATCTTGACCTTAATCAGTCTTCAAGTTTATTTATTATTGTGCTTATGTGGATTTTTTTTTTTTTTTTTAATTCCCCTGATTTAACTTATCTATACTGAGGAAACATTGAAAAGCTAGGAAAAGGGTATTGAACACTAAATAAGAAAGCTATTATAATCTATCCTCTAGATTAATTTACTAGAAATGGATATCTAGGTATAAATTATGACTTTTTGATGTACCGTACAGAGCTTTAGTAAACTGTGCAACATATTGTTATGAGATGATCATGTCATTTACCATCACTGCATCTGGCTTTACATTCGCTCTGAGGCTTCACTCGCTCACTCTGCTCTTGCTCTTGCTGCAGCTCTACTTCACCCTGAACTGAGTTCCAGCTGCCCTTCAGATGTTTCTTCAGAGCTCCAAAGAAAGAAGTCAACCTCCACCACTTCTTTTTCTTCTTCACTTTCTCTATCACCTTACTCCCCTGGCCGTTTCCCTCACCAGCATCAACAGTGGTCTCATGAGGGTGTTGTTCCTCTGTGTTGCTGCTGGGTTTTGGGGGGGTGCTGAGATCTCACACCTGACTATCCGTCAACGGACGAACTCGAGAAGTTTGCTGATACATTGTTGTCAAAATCGATAACAATCGCTTAAAATAACTGGTCAATTTCACTCACCACTGCTGCTAAACTCACAAAATGCACGAGAATTTCATGACCTTATAAGTTCTATGAATTCTTTCTGTGACGTCACAATAACCCGCGCGGCTTTTCTTCTTCTTCAGGCAGCTGGGGCGGGATTCACGAAACATTCTTAAGAAAAAAATCTTCTTAACGGCCATGTTCTCCTTCTAACTTAAGAAAAAAAGTTATGAATATTTTGTATTCTTCCCACAAATTCATCTTACCAGTGTTCTTGTGTTTTCTTATGGTTTTAAGACAAAACGTAAGAAAATTTCAAATTTTTGTAAATAGTCTTATTACAAATAATCCTGGTTTATTTCAAATTAATTTTTATAATTAAGCATTACAACATTACAACAACCACCATTTAAATATTTATATATATTTATATTTATTTTAAATTTATTATTAATTTATGTCGTAAAGAAAAACATGTTGTTCACCATGTGTGTGTGTGTGTGTGTGTGTGTGTGTGTGTACTGTCTGTATGTATCTGCTATAGCCTATAGTGTATTAATCAAGTTGTTTGCTTCTCCTGGTGTCTATAGCTTGTAACATGTTCAGATGGGATTTTATAGTGTGTTGCAGTCTGTGGTTTTACTTTATTGCTGTGGATCTCCTTGCTATCAATGCTCTATTGCTCTTTTTTTGGGGATGATGAAGACGTTGAGTCATTTGCATATAGAACTCTGCTGCATATCCATCTGCAGCAGCCTATATTGTGCATCAGTCGTGCATCAGTCCTTCCCCTATATCCCAGAATCCTTTGCAACAAGTGATAAGACTTTTAGCCTGTCCAACGCACATATTAAATTAACACATCTGCTCTTAATAGTATACCAGTAATAACTTATTATAATTTGGCAGGAGGCTCTTGTCTTTTATGACCTCAATAAAACTAGACTCCAACATGATTCTTTTACAAACAGCCAAATTATTCTGCTCAAAATCTAATAGCATCTAACACAAGACTAAGCTGTGAGCATATGGGCATACGGTGCACCAAACATTTGGAAAACTATTCATGGAGATCTCATCCTTGAGTAGATCTCACAGAGCACTCTATCATAAAAATGAATGATTTTACTTTTCCTCAGAGTTTCTCATTTATCTAAGCAGCAGACACTCCATCGGATTGGTCCATATCTCAAAGTGCCATCAAAGACCAAGGCCTTAGGAAGGAAATGATCTTATGTTGACTCAAAATTGAGTTACAACTCTGAATTAAAACAGCCCTTTTAGTGTTGTTTTCTTAGGCAAAAATACTGCCAAAAATACAATCCCAAAAACACTATTGAACAGACCTGTTGGGGACTGCGGACTTGTAACCACACAAAACACCCTAGCAACCATCCAGAACACCATGGCAACCTAAGTGCTCTAAAACAACATCCTAGGATCACTGAGGTGAGTTTAAGCACCACTCATGTCCAAAATATTAATCCTTTTCTATTCATGTTGGTTTCATATGATTTCAAAGTTATTCCACTACATCCCAAAAAAGTCAGTTTAATGACTCTAAAAAATGTCATGTGGTGTAGCCATCAAGTAAAAAGTAATAATAAATATAAGTGTACAAATGTTTTTAAATGTATTTGTCAAGATGAAAAGGGTTTTTACACAAATATCATGAATTATTCATTCATAAATATTGTTTTTATCAAATTACATTTTTACAACCTTATCTAACCTCGCCTTGTCATAAAAATGGTATTCTAATGATATTTATTTCTAATATAAGACTCTTATATTAAATAAGTAATTACTTTGCATCTGATAAAAAAGCATGTTCAGTATAGGATGTGTGCATGTAATTCTGACGTAGATTCTCCCGTGGCCTCATGGGATAGTAAAGTTTTATCAAAATTTCCTGTTTTATGTTTCTGCACATTGGTTGCACCACATGACTGTGCTATCTGCCTCATTGGCTTTCTAACAGTCCCACTGTGTCAAATTAGACTGTATTCACATCTGGCATCTGAGCAGAATGAATGAAGCCTTTTTTATTTGCTTTGTTTCTCTAGTTTAATAATAAATGAGTGAAAGGTCGTGCGGCGTGGAGGGATGAAACGCTTTTGTTCAGCCGTTGCTTTGCACAAATGATCTCTATCTTCACACTTCTCATACACTCCCCCTCTCCTGCTTTCTTTCTTCGCCGTGTGTGTGTGTGTGTGTGTGTGTGTGTGTGTGTATGTGTGTGTGTGTGTGTGTGTGTGTGCATGTAAAGTGTTGTGACAACTCATATCCCAGAGCGCTTAAGCGCACATTCCATTCCCCCCTAGCGGTCCCCCGGGTATGGCCCACCCTTTTCAATTAGAGTCGCAGCCACAGAAAGACCAACAGGTGCAGAGGCCACAAAACAAGATGAATTACAGCCACTGAAACACATACAATCCACCCAAACACACACACACACACACACACAGCCAGTTCACACACAATTTTGACATATTTGTCGTCGGTTAAGCTGCGGTTTTGAGGTTCCAGCGCTGAGATGTTACAGGCTGTTTTTCTGGCCTTCTGTTCGACATTCTTAAGACACACTGTCAGCTGGACTGGTTCTGCGTATCTCAGCATCCAGCGCATAAATATATTGACCTCATCCTCTGTTCGAGATCCAGTCCCATAAAAGCAAAATGGTTTATGTTCTGTCAACTTTTCACACACGCTGGACTGTCACATAATGAGATCAGCAGTTGATCAGTGCATTACCATCCATCTTTGACTTCTGAACAGACGTTCTCCGGTCGGAGTGGATTGGCGGTTATTGTACAGGACTGTCCTGACCGAACGACTGCGGAACTGACTGAAGTTGGATCAAAAGTGTTTGCCGGTTCAGAGCGAATTCCGAGAGCGGCTCACTTTTTTCGTAATAACAGGTTTCTGGCAATGACCTTTCGATCCCCTTTTTCCTGACCATAAAATCCAGTATAGGGGCTTTAGCCTGAAGGAATCATGCCGAATACATGTTTTAAAGGGGTCACATGATGTTGCTAAAAACAACATTATTTTGTGTATTTGGTGTAATGAAATGTGTTTATGTGGTTTAAGTTTCAAAAAACACATTGTTTTCCACATACTGTACATACTGTACTCTCCTCTATGCCCCGCCTTTCTGAAACGCGTCGATTTTTACAAAGCTCATCGGTCTGAAAAGCGAGGTGTGCTGTGATTGGCCAGCTATCCAGTGCGTTGTGATTGGCCGAATACCTCAAGCGTGTGACGGAAATGTTACGCCCCTTAACATACTGTATATCTCTTTGGATTTGAGACTTTAGTCTTTGCAAAAATTGAAATCGCATCATATGACCCCTTTAAAGACCGAAACAGACTATATAACCAATTTAAGTCCTTGAACCTTGAAAAGGGTTGTATAACTAGCCTAAATGATGAACAGTCATGTCACAGTATGTTTATAGCAAAAGCCACACTTAACATTAATGTTATATGCATTTACATGAACACATATTTATGTGTGGAACTGTTTCAAGTGACAGATTGATATTATTATACACTATAGTGGTGTGCTGGCAATTGGCACTATATGCTTTAGCTCATACTTAAGGTTAATGATTTGAACAAACCCCTAAACCTAAGTGTAAACTTCAGCATGTTCACTACAGTTTAAAAATTTGGATTGGAATATTTTAAAATGTTTTTAAAGTATCTTTTCCTCATCAGGGCTGCATTTATTCACTTAAAAATACAGTAAAAACATTGTAATATTGTGAAATATTATTATAATTTAAAATAGCTGTTTTTTAGTGTAATACACTCCATTGAAAACTCCATTACTCCAGTTTTCAGTGTCACGTGATCATTTAGAAATCAATTTGCTGCTCAAGAAATTTTTTTTTGTTATTATCAATATCAACAATATCAATAGAAATATAAAGTTTAAAAGAACAGTATTTATTTGAAATTGAAATCTGTAACAAGTCTCTACGGCCACTTTTAATGCATCCTTGCTAATTCTAAGCATTTTGTTCATACTATTGCTGCCCTGAAACTTTTGAACCGTAGTGTAACTTGTTTCACAACGTTTGTGCTACAGACATGAATGATACATAAAATCATGCAGCATTTTGAATGAATGACATAAAAAAAGTGATCAATTGTTGCCTGCTGGATCATAAAAAACAAATACCCATATGAGGGATCCAAGTCATATACTGTATCTAGGGACAACAAGCAAACACATAGCAACCAGCCAAAACACGCTGGCAACCACATAACAACATGTTAAAAACAAACACCACATAAATATATAATTATAAATAGAAATAGTATTATAAATATCAATTACAAATAAATTCCTATTAAGTTCACTCAAACAAATTACTATTACGAAAAAAATCTAATAAGTTTACTATTATTCAGTGAATATAAGAGAGAAGTAGACTCCAAAATGACATTTTAAAAACATGCAGACCCTCAGGTCCTGTCAGAGTACAGTAACTTACATCATACAGAGTTAAATCAAATGAAAATTCCTACTAAATCCACAAAGGCTATAGTAGAGAATGAAGGAGCACCTTTGCTCCCATAAGAACACTCTCTTTTTTTAAATATAATTTCAGACTGTGCTTCAAAGCAACCGAGCAGATTTTTCCCACTATAAAGCTGATTTGGTGGAAAAGTTTGGCCCTCACTAGCAGATAGAAAGGGGGCAAAAGACTGTAAAATCTGTATCTGGCTGAAATATATATATATATGGAGAACAGACTGTGAAGAATGTCTTTTGGTCCTCTAAGAAGTTTGCATACTATTCCACCCTAAATGTGTACTGGAAATAATTATTGTGGTGCATATTCGATGCTGTCCAATTTCAGGTTGAAACAAGAATGCTAAAAGTGTAAATGCTCATATTACTCACAACTTCCTTCGCAATTATTTCTCTCTGCATTTTCAGTTGTACAATTGTGCCAAAGAATACAAGTCTAAAGCTGTTGAAGTGGTTTTTCAGCATAAACTAGCCTAATTTAAAGGCAATGAATTAGCTAGATGCTAACGGCTACATGCGAATGCAAAAAAGGACACGTAAAAAGGGTCTGTGGTGTGATATTATGCTCCAATCCTTTACCTTGACGATTATCACCACAAAGTACATACCTTGTAGTGTATCGTGCTGGGATCCAGATGTCGTGAAGGAGCTGGCGGTTATTTTTGACTGGATTGTGCCCTCTTGTGCTCACAAACAGCATGAGCAGCATAGACCGCCATAGACTATTTTCTCTGGCTGTATTTCCACATTTACTGTTTCAGTTAATTGTCCGTTTCATGCGCGGATTCTGAAAAATATCTTATTTACACAGATGTTATTTCAAGTATTATATTTATACAACAAGGCTTTCAATATTCAAGCAGAGGAGCTGGATGACTATTGACTAGATAAAATACTATACCTGAAAATTTGGGGTCAGTAAGTTCTCTATCTATCTATCTATCTATCTGTCTGTCTGTCTGTCTGTCTGTCTATATATCTATCTATCTATCTATCTATCATCTATCCATCTGTCTATCTGTGTCTGTCTGTCTATCTATCTGTCATCTATCTGTCTGTCTGTCTGTCTATCTATCTATCATCTATCTCTGTCTGTCTGTCTGTCTATCTATCTATCTATCTTTTTATTTGTATTTTTTGTAAAGAAATTGATATTTTTATCCAGCACATATGCATTAAATTAATCAAAAATGACAGTAAAGACATGTATAATTTTCTATTTAAACAGAAAATACATGCTTATATATGCAATATATATGCAAATATTTTGAAGATAATAAGACATGTTTCTTGAACACCAAATCAGCATATTAGAATGATTTCTAAAGGATCACGTGACACTGGAGTAATGATGCAGAAAATTCAGCTTTGCCAGCAAAGGAATTAAATTACAATGAAAAAAAAACATTGGGCCCTATAATACCCAACTTCTCCTGGCCTTCCTAAACAGACTTTACAGAGACCTGATTCCAGAACAAGAAAGGGGTTTAGTTAGACCACATTTGCCTAATTATGTTGTTGTCTGGGATAATGTCAGCTTCCTCCGAACCAACATTGTTAGGGACTGGTTTGCTGCACATGAAAGGATAACAGTGGAGTTCCTTCCACCATACTCTCCATTCCTAAATCCAAAAGAAGAGTTTTTTTCAGCATGGAGGTGGAAAGTATATGATCATAGACCACAAGATCAGATGTCTCTGTTGGATGCCATGAATGCTGCATGTGAGGACATCACAGCTGATCATTGCAGGGGATGGGTGCGGCATTCAAGGAGATTTTTTTCCCCGGTGCATGGCAATGGAAAACATCGGATGTGATGTTGATGAAAATCTTTGGCCTGACCAACAAGAGCGACAGGATGTCCACCAAGAATAATTTTTTTCATGGATGTTATTTTGTAGTTATTAAGTATTTTTGTGTATTTGTGGTAACATAAGAAATCTGAAATGTACAGTAATTGGACAAGCAAGATTTCACTTATATGTAATGCATTCGTACAAAAATAAATGTACTGCATAAATACAAATGTTCATACTTTTTTTTTCTTTTCTATGTACTATTGACTCTTCTCAACAAATATCAGATTTTTTATAAAACCTTCATTTCCATGGTTGACTATCATGGTGAAAAAACAACTAAACATTTTGACCAGTGTGGCTCACACGATGACAAAAATACTTTATATTTTGGTGGCCTTGGCCAAATTACTGACACGATAACTAGGTTTTGAAGCATGAATGAAATGTTTTGGGTGAGTAACTACATTTTGCAGACATGCAATAAAGTTCTGAAGTTCCAGGAAACAGTTGTGACATTTGCACTCACAGTTTAGAGAATGTTAAGATTGTTTCGAAAAATGTGCCAAAGCAATTGAGAAAAACTGTAAATAGTAATATTTCACAATATTACTGTTTTTACAGCTTTTTCAAAAAGAATAAAATGCAGCCTTGGTGAGCATAAGAGGCTTCTTTCAGACAGATTCAAATCTTCCGACATCAAACTTTTCTATTATTCTATTACATATTACAAATTTTAATGTTAATAAAAACAATCGATACTATAATGTAACATATTATGAATACTATTTTATTATGCAAATTAGATCTCTTTTACACATTTCACATGTAGAAAATCACAAGTCACAGTTTAGGCATTATATAGAGACTCCAATATTTATTTGTATTATAATATATATTAAAACTGCGCATAAAGTGCATAAACTATGTTGTTACACCTGCTTAACAGGCTGTCACATTAAATACTAGGCATTAACAATGTCCTGTAAAAACATCCAACTTTTGTCAAAACTACGGGGATGACCTCTTCCTCCTCATCCCACAGAGTTTATGGAAGGGGGACACTCTAGAGTGGGCTTTCTGTGAGTCTCCTAGGGACTCTGGATCACTTTCTGGATCAGAATGTAATTGTGCTGCTTCCGGAGCAGCAACGTACACTGGGACAGTGGGAAGAGACGTTTGTGACCGATCCACAGATAATCTTGTCTTTCCCTCCTCAGAAGCATTCAGGCCTCTCAAGTGGATCACAAAATTTGACGTCTGCTGTTCCAAAGACATGAAATCCTCATGGATCTCCGAAAACTGTCACCGGAAAGAAAGGAAATGATTTACTGAACAAATCGAAGCATATAAAAAGCAAGCATATGGTCTTTCGCAAGTAAATCATGTTATATATATATATATATATATATATATATCAACTGCTTGATAGATTAGAGCTGAGACTATATTATCACTCAGCTCTAATCTGCTGAATGACGTTAGGATATTACAATATTATAAACATTAACATAATGATTTTCTGTAAAGCTGCTTTGAAACAATGTGTATTGTGAAAAAGCGCTATACAAATAAATTAGACTTGACTATCTAACAGGCTCAGGCTGTCGTTATCTGTGAATGTCTTCATACCAGATCAGTGTTAGACTGTAATAACTCTTTGGTCCATGTAGAGTTGATGGTGGCACCGAAAGTCTCGTTCAGACCCTGATGGCTGCTGCGAAGTGCCTGAGGAAGAGCAGCCAGCAAAACCACATTTATTCAGGCTTTATAGCATGAAAGTTGCTGTATTGGCAATGTATTCTTGTCTTGATATGCCTATTTCTGATAATATCCTCAGAAATATATTAAAACTTGTACAAATGACTATATAATGACCTGTAAAAGGTTTATACTGGTTTCCAGCTGTGTCTGGCACTGTTGGGCTTTACTTTTGAACTGACTGAGCTCACTGAACAGGCTCTAAAACACAAACACATTCACATATATCAGTAAACATGCATCACAGAGGGCCACTGTAAGATTTTATATGGTAAGTAGTGTATCACCTCAGTGTCTGTGAGGACGGCGTGAGGGTCCTGTGCTTCCTGTGTGCTGTCAGGCCTCAGAGTCACTCGTGTGTGTAACTCCTCCAGCAGAGCCCAGCGCTTCTGTAACCCGCTCTGAACCGCACACACACTCGCGTCACACTCACGCTGAACCTGCAGCAGAGAGCGCAGACCGCTCACCCTGAGAGACACAGAACAGCAGCATTATAAACCGTCAGAAAACACAAACACAATAATAAAAAGAATACACCAAGGATTAATATCAGCTCAGAACAGACAGCCAACTAGAAAAGATTTTAAAAAATAGTGCTGCATGAAAACTGACTAGTTTACATTTGGAGTTTATATATATACTGTATATATATATATATATATATATATATATATATATAAAGCTTA